GGTGGAAGCACTGGAATAAATTGCCTAGGGAGGTTGTGGAATCTCCATCTTTGGAGGTTTTAAAGAAGAGGTTAGACAAACACCTTTCAGGAATGGTCTAGTTACTACGTAGTCCTGCCTTGAGTGCAGGGAACTGAACTAGATGACCTGTTGAGGTCCCTTCCAGTCCTACACTTCCATGATTCTATGGTTCTACTCCAGCCTCAGGAGATTAGGTTGTAGATTCATGGGGTTTTGGTTTGGTGGATGTGTGTGAGAGAGATGATGCTCAGGAAGGGCTAGTGCAAGCTGGTCTGTGTTGCACTGTGCTCTAAAGGTAGCAAGGCATTCTTCTTGTATTATTGCTTGGTGGTTGTTGTTGTTTTCTGAGTACCTAAAATGTGGTACCTCAAATCAATAAAGACCTGAGGTGAAATCCTAGCCCCACTGAAATCAATGACAAAACTCTCATTCACTTCACTAGGGATAGGATTTCACCTCCAGTCCCTGCCCTGAAGAGCTTTCAGTTTAAATGTGACATGATACAACATGAAAGGGACTGAACTGGGCAGAAGAAAAGGAGAGATGGAGAAAGTAAAGGGTGTTTTGGAAGCTTTCTAGCTCCATGAGTCAATGGGAAGTGGATCATCCCTATCAGTCCTGCATCCAACTGGGAAGATGGGAGGACCATGCACATTTAGTCCTTTTAATCTCCCCTTGTAAGTTATTTTCTTCACTCCCTTAACCATTTTTATTTCTCTTCCATGAATTCCTTTTGATGAGTCAACATCTTTCTGGTATTGAGATGCCCTGAACTGCATGAGTATTGCACACCATCTGCGTTAGACTGCTTGGCTTTCCACATCAAACGTATGCACTAGGACAGCTTTCTCTAGCCATGGTGGCCACGGTTTTCAAAAACCTGATTTCAGGTGCCTCCATTTCTGAATGTCCAATTTGTGACACTAAAAGAGACCTAATTTTCAGAACGTGCTGAGACCCTTACTTCAGAGAATCAGGACCTTTTGAAGTGTCTCATGTCAGGCACCCAAAAAACGGATGCACCCCAGATGACTAATCACTTTTGAAAATCTTGACCAGTCTTGCTGGATCCTGACAGGGTGTTGTTATCCTACTCTCTCTGGGAACTCCCTTAGGAACTCATGTTTGCTGTCTTCCTGTTCACTGCTCCGTTTATACTGATTTTATAACATACACAGATAGAAACAAAAATAAAATCTAGACAAATCAATAACAAATGTTCTACATCACCTTTCTTTGCCTGTCTGAATAAGAGAGTTAAAAATCCTCATTTATTATGGCAGATTGATCTGTCCAACTTCTGATGATGTTTTTCAAAAGCCTTGGTGTCCCTTCAGAGTGCACACTGTTGCTTTGCCAATATCTTTGAGAACTACTGCTCAGATCCTTGGAAGAGGTATTGGGGTATTTGCTGAGTAACAGTTTGGATAGCAATTATCTAGGTGTATTTAAATAAGAGCCATGTGTTTAGTAGCAAAGCGAACCATTAGGCACTCAGATACTACAGACATGGGGGTCATACATGCAGATGATATTTAGCTACAAATATGATCTCAGAGTAGTTTACTGTTGTGTCCAAGCTGGGCTATGTATGAATTAATTGGTTGTTCTTTGATTGTGGTTACATCTGAAATGTCTAAGAGATGGTATATTTTTCTCCAGGCTCCCTTGAAATGAAACTGAATGAATTTCCTCGAGCAGCCAAGTCTGCCAAGAGTTGTGACGTAGGCATGGTAACAGCAACAAGTAAAGAAAACAAGATATCCATATTTCAGCAAAAGCGTGTCAGAGGATGGTGGCCTTTCATCAAAGCTGGGGAGCTCACTGTAAGCAGATCACTAATGACTAAGATGAGCAATCTAAGATTACTAGAAGTGCCTCTCTCACGTACAGATACTCTGATGATAGGCACCTTACAAAGAGACAGAAAACTACTAATCTCACAGAGATCAGCTGAGCAGTAATATTATATATTGTAACATCCATGTAGGACAACCTAACTTTACATGACTGAAGCTGTGGCTGTTATTAAAAAGAACATTAATAATTCAAGTGACATAACTTCATGAGAAGGTCCAATAGACATGATTTTTATCAGTATTAGCATTTAGGGGATGAGCCTTATCAAATTACATTGTTATAGGTTCTTCATAATAACTAAGGAAGGTAAATTAAGAATTGCTTCTCAGTGTTTGTGGTTGTCAATTCTTGAATTTAACCAGCACACTATTAATGAATATAGTTATTTATTATTCAGTCAACTAATCTTAAACTAGGCATATCTATTTTTGTGAATGTCTCATGGGTGCTAACTGGTTAATGGGTGGTTATTGTTTAATAACTCTGGATTAAATATTTGAACAGATATTAATCAAAATTTACTCTCTGATGTAGGGCAAAGTGGAAGCTGAATTCCATTTAGTCACTGCAGAGGAAGCTGAGAAGAGTCCTGTAGGGAAAGCTCGGAAGGAACCTGAGCCTTTGGAGAAACCCAAGTGAGTAGGAGCATATTCACTAAGTGAGATAAGAAAGCTGGTATAGTGGTTAGAGCAAGGAATTTAACAGGAGTGCTCCTTGTGTCTGCTTCTATCGCTGGTACTGTCTTTTTATGTAACTCCAGCAGAATCTCCGTTTACCCAGATATAAAAATGTGGAGTAATGATATTTACCTAAAGTATCTGACAGGAATATTGTTAGGCTTAAATAATTAATATTTGCTAATGCTTCACAATTGTTATGTTAATCAATATCTGCTATGCCTCTCATTGCTAACCTATACATCTAAGGGGTTGCTTCTCAATATTAGATGTGAGGGATTCTTTGCCCATACGTGAAGGAATCCACAAATCTGATTTGTGTGTGTATGTCTGGGTATTTGTATGCATAAATTAGACACATGCCAATGACTGTGCACACTTGACTTTGGAAATCTGGCCATATGGGAATGGTACAATTTTATCACATCTATATTCACTTATTGAATTTCACAGCCAAAGAATGAGGCTACCTATTTTTCAACATAAGACTGTGTAAGGTTTTTTTAAAGTCCTTTCACAAAGCAAAGGGTCCAGAATGAACGTTTTATCTAACCAAATTCTACCACACTCAAAAAAATTCCAGTTGAGGTTTTTGTATCCGAAAAACATTCATGTAATCAGTTTAGGTTTATGCAGTTAATTCTGTTACAGCGATGAGCTATGGAAAGACAAGGAATGTGAAATGAGATTCCCTACTACAAAAGATTTTAAAAATCTTATTCCAAGTGGTAATTTTAACCAGTGAAGAATTTCACTCTCTCCATCAAAAAGATGTTCAATTGAGCTTCCAGATTTTCTGATCTTCTAGCAGGATGGCATTTGTGGGTGACCATGAGATTATTTACAAGACTTCAACAGCTTTATGAAAAAATATGCAGACAACACTCATTACAATATAGCATTTTAATTTTATTTCCCTTATTGTAATATCTCTGCAACCTTGGGGTATACTTGGTATAGGATCAATACGCAATATCTCAAAAGGACATACTCTGTTACCTCAAATTATGCCAAATAGTATTTTGCTCTCTGAATAGTCCCATTATTCACAACTGACAGACACTGGCCCAGTTCATTCCTGAGGTAAGGCCTTTAAAATCAGAGAGGCACAATGTCTTCCAGAGCTCCCCAGCATGCAGTGGGGAGATGGCTCCTACATTGTCTCTTGGTTGCGTGTGACTTGCACTTTTCTCTGCAGCCAGTCAGCTTTGCTGGGCAGCATGAAGAGGATCAGGGCCGTGGTCCTACCTCTTTTGATAAGTGTGCTGTAGTGGTGGGGCAGGAAAAAGCATCCCTGCACGCAGAAGAATTTCGGATTCCAGCTCTGGTTGCCCCCTCCATAGTGGAAAGTTTCATTGTACCTTTCCCACTCCTGTGCACCTTTGCGAAAAACAACCACAATCTGGCCTTTGGGGTTTGGTGGCCAGAGATTCCCAAATAATGTTTGGTCAAGACCCAGATTTTAAAACTGCATTTGAGTGGATTGCATTCTGTGGCTTCCCAGCACTCTGCCAGGACTGACTCATATGTGCCATACGTGTTTGAAAAGTTTAGCAATGTGACTATAACCAGGAAAGCAAATTATTTGTAGTGGCTACTCACTAGGATTCTCATCCTAAAGCAACTGATGTCAATGGGAGTCTTTCCACTGGGCTTTGGGTCAGGCCCAAGAAGCACAGGACATCTAAATGTCACATTTAAAGCTTGCTGTGGGTTAATATGTAAATTAGGACCCCCCCAAGATTTGTCCTACTTTGCATAGCTATGAAATGCAAAATATACAGTTCATTCTTCACAGTGGCACGTGGGGTGTGTGCTATGAGATGTGGAAGTTAAAAACAGAAGAATGGCCATACTGGGTCAGACCAATGATCCATCAACTCCAGTATCCTGTCTTCCCACAGAGACCAGTGCCAGACGTTTTAGATGGAATAAACAGAACAGGGCAACCATTGAGTGATCCATCCCCTGTTGTCCAGTCCCAGCTTCTGGCAGTCAGAGGTCTAGGGACACCCAGAGCATGGGCTTGCGTCCCTGACCATGTTGGATAATAGCCATTGACAGACCTATCCTCCATGAACTTATCTAATTCCTTTTTAAACCCTGTTATACTTTTGGCCTTCATACCATCCCCTGGCAACAAGTTCCACAGGTTGTTTGTGTGAAGAAAAACCTTCTGCCTGTTAATTTCACTGGGTGACTCCTGGTTCTTGTGTTATGTCAAGAGGTAAATAATGCACCCCCCCCATTCACTTTCTCTGCACCATTCATGATGGACTGTTGAGTGATCCAAAGATGCTTAGCACTTTCAGAAGTGCTCTGAGTATTAAGAACTTTTAGTGAATTCCAAGGTGTTAAAAGGTCCTTTTGTAAGTGATATGTTTTACACAGCATGAGTTTTATAACGTAATATCTTTTGGAAATGTCTAGATCTTGCCTTACCAATTTTCTCTCTCTTTTCTTCCCTTCAGCCGCCCAGACACTTCCTTCTCCTGGTTTGTAAATCCTTTCAAGTGTTTGTATCACCTCATCTGGAGAAATTACAAGAAGTACATCATCATTGCGCTGATTCTGATTATTCTGATGATCTTCTTGGTGCTTTTCATTTACACTTTGCCTGGTGCAATCAGTCGTAAGATTGTTGTAGGATCTTAGACCATTACATCTCTCCTTGTAACTAATCATACACAAGTCCTGCAGTTAAAAATAAAAACTTGACTTCACAATTAATGAGCCTGAAATACATTCTGCCAATTATAAAGATAAAGACATAACCATTCATTTCAGGAAAATGAAACTGACTCAAAATAGTTTAACACTCTACTCCTCGGCTGCTTATTCAGAAGCAACCACGACGTGCATTATCATTAATGCCAGAGCTTTATTAACTATTTTAAAGTTTGATTCTGTGTCCGTTATTAAATGTGAATATGCATTCTTTGATATTGCACAAAAACTGTGTTATAAAGAGTAAATATTAATTAAGATTATATTTCTATTACCAAATATTGAGAGAGAAATGTTATCCATAAACATGAGAACTAGGAAGGATGCCCTGTGTGTTCTTTGCATAATGTTGCAACTGATGATTTTAATGTTTTTTCATGATTTTATATTGATGTACATGATTTTTTAAAGATCGTTTGTTCATGCAAATCAAAGGTGAAATTCTCTCCTTTGTTGTCATATACACATTTTTAAATAGCTAAAATAATTGTATTATGCTCCAAAATCTCAAGATATTGCCCTCACATAAATAACCAAAGCGGGAGAGAGGAATTAGGAGGTATAGGAAAAGGAGGAAAAAATCTATTTGCAGATGTGGTTTGAAAACTGATGGAGAGTTAGCGAAGGAGAGAAATGCAGGAAAGATTGTCCACTAGAGAGAAAGGGCTCTTGAATAAGTAGTGGGAACATTGTATTGAGAAGAGGATTCGCTCTATTTACTAGATGAACAGAGAGACTGAGAAAGGAAACAAAGAGAAGGTGGAGGCTGGAACAAGTCATGGGGGATTTAAAAAACAAGGAGTAAAATCCTGGCCCCACTGAAGTCCTAGTCCAAAACACAGATCATTTTATACATTGTCATACAGGAGGTCAGACTAGAATGGTCTAATGTTCCCTTCCTGCCTTTAATCCATGAATATGAATAATTAACAGCCAGAAAAATCCCCATGGGCTGATAGTTGGTTAGACAGACATGTAGTAGATCTGACCTTGCAGATAATTCATTCCACCATTCTAAAGCCGTAGGAGTAAGAATTAGAATGTAAGCTCTCTGGTTAAGGGACTACTATTCGTGTGCATTCAGGAAAGCACCTAGCATGTTTTTGGACACTTTAACATAGTAATACAAATGAATCATGTGGATGCAGTATTGCCACACAGTTGAGATTGAATGGTCTCTCCTCTCTTCAAGGTAGGTTGATCCTTCTATGTGAGGATATGAAGCACATTAGCAAGACAGTGTGGGAAAGCTTGCATTGTCACTGCTGGTGCTTGGCCTGTTCTGTGGCTCTACAGAGGACATTGGTTCTCCGGGACTGTCCCTCTGGCTAGCACTGAAGTCATTTTAAAAAATGAAAATAAATAAAAATAAATCAAACTGCCAAATTGCAAACATTTTGCATTTAAAAGGGATTAAACTCCATGAACATGATGACAACAAGATTTAGTATTTCTTGTGGCTTTCACATTCTAAGTATGTTATAAACATTAACAAGCTAATTTTAAGTGTGTGAGCAATCCTGTTAATATTAAACATGTGCTTAAGTGCTCTGCTGGACTGGGGCCTTCACGTGGTGTATTTTACCTTTGTGTGTTTAATATGACAAAGCAATAGATGGAGTTCGCGCTAGTTAGTCATTAACAGGATAAGGAAGTGATGATGCCAGGTACTGCACACCCTCAGTATCCACTGACCACAATGGGAGTTGAGGACATTCTGCGTCGTCTTTCAGAGGCCCTAACCCAGTATGGTACATGCTTGCCTGGCATTTTTAATGTATTCCTCTGACACTGCTAGTTTTTATTTCACTGTGTACTTAACTCTGTATTACACTGAGAAGCAAATCCTGTTTCTCCGAATAAGCCTTGCTGTGTCTATGAACCTTTGAATTATGATGATTTAACTGAGCTAATTTTGTTATGCATAAATACAATTATTTTAATAAAAAAGCTCAGATGAACAGTTTCTACCGTCTTATAATAGTCTGGAAGGCAACATGCTGATTCTTTAAGCAGAACCTTTTGTTTAAGTATCGGACAATAGGTCTGATCCTTCAAGGTGCTAAGTGCCCACCTCCCTTGATTTTAAGCCTAGATTATGATTTTGATTATGTGCCAACATGGGGGAGTAAGAATTCTTCTGGCACCCATGTACTGGCTACCAGGCCCTGGGTCTAGGTATATAGCAATGAGCAGGTGCTATGTGTCTGCTTTTTAGGATGACCAGATGTCCCGATTTTATAGGGACAGTCACGATATTTGGGGCTTTTTCTTATATAGGTCCCTATTACCCCTCCACCCCTGTCCCGATTTTTCACACTTGCTATCAGGTCACCCTGCTGCTTTTTTCTTCCTGGTGGAGGTGGGCAGGAAAGAGCAAGAGGTGGACAGACTCTTGACTGGCTGAAGTCTGTTCCTGCACCACTGAAACCAACTGGAGGTTTGCCATTGACTTCAGTGGGCACAGGACCAAGCCCTTGTTGGTCAGAGCAGCTGAGCTGGCACAGAGGTGTTGTAACTAGCTGCTGGTATAAGCCAGCAGCAAGTTTCTAGACAGCTCACAGAGCAAGGAAGAAGCAGGAACAGAATTGTGACTCAGAGGGGTGTCTGAGTCACAGTGTGTCAGGCACTGGCCCCCAGTAGTCAGGCCTAGAGATTGGAGCAGAGGTTGGCACCAGATGTAGGGTCAGGACCAGGACCAGGGACAGGTCAGGGTTAGAACTGAGATCAGAGTCCATCAACAAGCCAAGTCAGTACTGTAGCTGGAGTCCAGATACAAGGCAAAAGTCGAAGCCGAGCGATTAGCGTCTGAGGGTTCCAGGAGCGGGGTCAGGAGGCAGAGGCAGGACTGGAGCAGATCAGTAACAGGGCTGGAACTAGGGCAAAGACAAGGCTGGAGCGGGCTGGAACAGGGTTTGCACAAGAACAGGAACTAGAACTGGATCAAGAGCGGGAGCTGGAAGGCGGTCAGATAGGAATAGAAAGAAACTGAGGCAGGCTGGAGGCCCGGGGGGGGAGGGGCAGATAACCACTAGAAAACACTCCCCTTCAGAACCCTGGAGTTTGCAGTCTCTATATTCCTCTGCTCTCAGCCAATAGGTGTGAAACCCACTGACAGAATGTGTATCTCATCCCTTCTTTAGTGGCTGATCCATATAGAAGATAACTTACTTTTGCTACCAGTTACTCCATTAGATCAGGTGGTAGAGGTTTGTGCTGTGGCTCTAATGGTCCAAAACCTAATGATGATGCATGTTGGGGATCACTATGTTTCCATGTAGAGGGATTTCTGGCTTTCCCCTGTTTTTTTTTTCTTTAATTAGAAAATTACAAACAAATAACATTAAGGTGGCAAAGCCAACAATTCAGAAGTTAGGAAATGTCAGACAGAATTAACGTTTCCCATGCAAAACAATCTAGTAACCCACCTCATCAGAAAGGGCACCTCAATACACAAATGGGCTCTGAAGGACATGCTTCTCCCTCAGGTGTTTCAGGAGTGGGGTGTTCCCCCTCATAGATCTCTTTGCCAGCAGCAAGAAGAAAGTATCATGTTTCGTTCTCCAGACTCCATGTTGGATGCTTTCTTGATTCACTGGAGCAGTCATCTGCTGTATGCCTTCCCACCATTCCCACTAATTCCCAGAGTCTTCAGGAAGGTGAGACAAGACAAAGCCTGACTGATACTCACAGCACCAGATTGGCTATGCCAATTGTGGTTCTCTGAGCTGAGGAATCTACCAGTTCAGCCATCCCTCATGCAAACAGCCCTGCATGGTCTAGTCCTTCCCCCAGACCAGTTGTCTCTGTATCTAACAGCTTGGTTCCTTGTTGGTTGGCCTTTGTGGACAGAAGCTGTTTGGCAGAGGTTTGGGACATTTTGATTCAGAGCAGGAACGCCTCTACTAGACTAACATATCACTTTAAATTCATATGTTTTTCACAGTGGGCTGTTCAGCGCCATCATCATCGGTTGCAAACTTCCATTCCTGACATGCTGGACTATCTCTTGTCTTTAAAACAACCTCGATCCTCACTTAGTTCACTGATGGTTCATTTGGCCACAATATCAGCCTGTCATGCACCTATACAAAATTGTACTGTATTCTCACACCCTAAAGTATCTAAATTTCTGCAAGGGTTAACTCATATGTTTCCTCCTGCCTTCGAACCAATATCACCACATTCTTTGAACCAGTTGTCAATTCAGAGCACTTTCTTTGGGTAATTACCATTAATACGGAGGGTGAGTGAGACTCATAGCTCATCCTCTTTATGCTAAGGACAGAGTGACACTAAGGCCTCACCCAAAGGTCATATACCAGAATTAATTGCTGACATTCACCTGAACCAATATGTACATTTACTGGTGTGTTTTCCTAAGCCTCATTCATCTGCTGGGAGGCAAACTTCATACTCCAGATGGTATGAGAACGCTTTCTGATTACCTTCAAAGAATTCAACTATTTCATAAATCACCCCAGGCTATTTGTAGCCTTTGGAACTAAGTCACAAGGGCAAACCATTTCCTAACAGAGACTTTCCAAGTGGATCTCAGATGAGGGTCTGTGATGGGTGTGACTGGCAGACCAGTTGCCAGTTCATGCCAAAGCCCAGAGCCTCACTGAACACTGACAGATGCATAGCGGGAAACCCGTCCGGCTCACCTGTGGGTTAGTATTGTTAATGTAGATATTAGTGTTTTAAGAATCTGTTTAATGTTTAAACTTTATAGAATGCTTGTAGGATGCTGCATATACTAAACCTACTTATAATATCTGTATCCCATGGTATACAGTTACTATATTGAGTGTTTGCATTGTAAACCTCTGTCACTGTGTAACTTACCAAACAGGAGGAGGAGCATTAGGTAAGGTAAAGTGCTCATCCTGCACGCAAGATGGCCCATTGAAGGCAAATGAGGCATTGTGTTGCATCAAAGGACAGAGACCTGGTTGACTACATTCCTAACTTCCTCCAGGAAGGGGCAGCCTGTGCATGAATTTATCCCATCAGCTTAGATTCTGGGTTGAGGGGGGATAAAAATCTCCTGAAGAGAAACTGGGTCTTTATGCTCTGTGCACTGTGAGGGGCAAAGGTTCCTAAACAGAAGCAAGAGATCCCCATGCTGCTTGGCATGAGTCAGCCCTCAAGGACATGAAGAGCTGCTTATTACAGAAGCGTCTATTACCCTTTTAAATCTAAGACTAACTCGTTTTTGTGTGTGTTTCCTGTTTTAACCTTGTAAATAACTCTCATTTATTTTCTTAATACATTTTTAGTTGATTATGGGATTGGCTAGAGGCATGTCTTTGGTTTGAGGTCTGAGTACAATTGACCGGGTAAGTGACTGGTCCTTTGGGACTGGGAGTAACCTGAATATTGTTGTGATTTTGCGTGAAAAGTGACCATCTATCACATAGTCCAGCTTGCCTGGGTGGCAAGGGGACTGTCTGTAACTGTCTGTAAGACTGGGCTGGTGAAATCTAATCATAGAATATACAACCAGTTTGGCACGTCTGCCCTACTTTCTGACAGTCTGCCTGTGCTTGGCACTCATGGTCATGAGCCCCTCCAGACTGCAGGACATTTTAGAGGGCAAACCACTTCCACACACAGACTTTCAAAGATCTCAGATTGCATAAAGGTCTGTGATGGGGCTTAATGCCCATCATTTGCAAGGTGAGTGAATGTCCCCAATTAGTTATGCTTTGCACCTGGGGAGGTGAGTAGCTAACTGGCTTCAGGCCAGAGAGGGCAGGGATACACCATCATAAATAGACTGAAGGAGCTCAGTTTAGGGAGAGATGGCAGAAGAGACAGGTTTTTCTGGCTGAGAGAAGCCCAGGTTTAGGGTGCGCAGGCGGACACAATGGAGGCAGCATGGGCTCCTGCATGAGAAGCCCTTAGATAGGATCTGTCAGTGGAGAAGAGAAGACTTCAGTAGCCCAAGATGGCAGAAGAACTATTCAATACATTTTGGAGTTTTGCTTGGACTTGTTTATGATACCCCGGAAGGGGGCTGAACTTAGGTGACTTGGCTGGAGTGCTGAGACTCAGAAGATCTGGGGCCAGAGGTAGGCAGCCGGCAGGAGGTGCTGAAGCCGAACGTAGCAGGAACATCCTACACCAGTACAAGGGGGCCCTCCGAGGGTGAGTGAGCCCTGCCACAGGCTCTCTTGTGATTTGAAGAAGTGGCTCCCGACTCTCAAGTTAAATCTCATTCTGCTAGAGCGCAGGCGATTTCCAGAGTCCTTATAGTTGAGATTTGTAGTGCAGCCATTTGGAGCTCAATACATACTTTTGCTAGTCCTTATTCTCCATTGTCAGTTTCTAGATCTGATGCCCAGTTTGGCAGGGAAGTCCTACTAATGCTTATTAAGTAGGACTTCTAGCTCCCACTTCTTTAGGAGGTTAACTCCCAGCCAATCACCAAGCGTGGAATCAAGATGTGGACAGATACTCGAAGATGAAAGAATCGTTACTCACCTTACAGTAACTGTGGTTCTTTGAGATGTTCTGTCCATGTGGATCCCACAATCCACCTGTCTTCCCCAGGATTGAGCGTGGTGAAGGAACTCACTGGCATTGGGGCCATCCCACATTTATGCCCTTGGGAGGAGTGGCACTATGCCATGCAGGAGGCTTGCATGGCTCCAATGAACATTACTGGTTTAAAGATTCTGGTGTCTCATGCATGGGGTGCATTCACACCAAGAGTGGGATCCATGTGGGCAGAACATCTCAAAGAACCACAGTTATTGTAAGGTAAGTAACTGTTCTTTATCTGTCTAGGTGGCACTTAACATGGTGACTGAATCTCTAAAAACACACGTCTGTGTTCCTTTGGAACTTATCATTGTAACATCTAAGCAGCAAATGCAGCAACTTAAGAGAATTATATACTATTCTCTTAGAATGGGCCATTTGTCCCTTTTCCCTCAGTTAGGTCATATAGAAGATGTTAAGGGGAACGAACTATATCCCACATGATATTCTGTTGTTTTAATCAGCCAATGTCTTTCCTCTGTCAACCAATTGTAAATGTAATGTTGAGCATTCTTATCAACCATCCTCTCTACAGATTCTATTGTTTTCTACAGAAGGACATTAACTACTCGCATGGAAAATAACCAAGCCAATCAGAATTGTCTGGAAGAATACAAGTTTCATATACCCAGTGCACAAAGGCTAATTTCACTTCCTTTTCTCCACAAAGGAAATTGTAAAGGCTTAAAAGTACTTACAGTAGTTCTTCAACAGCACTGCAGCATGGAAGGATCAATAATAGAAAATATCCCTTGTATGTTGTGCTAGCAAAGTAGAGTTACAAAAGGTCTGAGGAAAGGAAATGGAAAGTCTTTTTTTAAGGAGAAAAAAACAAAATATAATCAGAAGCAGCAAAGAAGAAAAGTTTCTCTACAGAAGAAGCTCAACTCTGGGTAGATTCACTAAAAAACGAATACTAAACCTTTGAAGAACAGAAGTTTGCTATTATATACCACCTCCTAAAGTGTCAGGAAAATCAGCACATCTGCCATGACAGAGCAAAGTAATGAAACCACATGCTCCAGCAAAGCAGAGTGAAAGTGACAGAAATTCAGCATCGGGTCTTCGACTTCACAGCCTCTAATGAAAAGGAATCATATTAGAAAAAATTCAGCAGACTGAATTGTGAGGCCTCCTGTGGAACATCAATTAGTTTAGAACTCTGTCACGTCTATTGGCTCAGCTGCACAACCTTTCTGTAGAGCTAATGCTAAAGGAATGCAAGAGCATGTAACGTTTAAGCAGATGAGGAAAGGCCACATTCTGATGTGTTACTCTTGATTTACTGCAGTATAATCAAAGGCAATATTCGACCCTTACAGTAGTTGCCAATAATGTCAACATTTTATTTTAAAAAAATTACACTGCACTGGTATCCACACTATGTCCTGTTCTAAGTGCAGAGACATACCTTGGTATCGCCTACACCACAGCTAAGTAGTAACTGTTGGCAAGTATAAAATGATGGTTGTACAGTAATGGTGATTCTTTTTAAACTGGTACTAGATTCACTTCCCGTCTTGAACCTTTGAAAGAAACATAACCCTCGTCCTTTTCATTGCAGCAATATCTGAAGAATAAATGTGTTTTTTTTTAAATTTATGCTATGAAAATGCAAATATTTCACACAAGAATGTCACTGAAATCAGTAATCAAAGGATGTGACCTCCCCCACCATGGCCGGGGCCGACAAGGGTGGGGTGGGGTGGGGGGTAGCCGGTACAAATGACTGGGGCCTGGCAGTCCGGAAGGGGGCCCGGGGCCCGGCTTCCTCCCCCCCCCGCTCGTCGGCCCTGTTTAGCCAGTCCGCCCTTGCTGGGGAGGCCCGAAAAAAAATTTTCACCGGGGCCCGAACCCGTTCTCAGCGGCCCTGTCCATGGCAATTGTCATAAGTGAAAGCCTATGGAATCACAGATGCCCCATTGTTTCTGACCCATTTTTTCTATCCCAGGTGGTTTGCAAGATATCCTACCTAGAAATGATCACTGGTCTTACGAGCAAATCATAGAGGCCATGTACAAGACAGGCGGCGATGTTTGCAGCATCCAATATTGCTGGTCCTGAATGGTCAAAAATCATGGCAGACCCCCCAAAATTATGAGCTTAGCTTGAAAATAAGATTAAAAATAATAATAATAAAGTTTGGATTCTTTTCTTTGCCTTCTGGTGTTTAAACCTTTATGTTACATTTTGATGCCATTTTCCAGCTTTTCCCAGCAACCATGACAGCTAGAAGTGTACTTTTTTTTTTAATGGAAGCTGAGATTCTCACAAATCCAGCAACTGGGGCTTTATGAGACCCATCAAACAGCACGAGACTCATAATAAAACCAGGAGAGGTGACAACCTTGAGCATCCCAAGCCAGTCTGCCTTTGGGTTACACAGCAGGTCAGTGAAAGAGTGGGAATTAGAATTTAGGGGGTCTTGACTCTGAGCTTTAGGCTTAGTCCACTAGGCCACACTGCTCCAGTCTAGCCAAAACAAATTACTGGGCTTACCAGTCTTTTACATATTCTAAAATTTTTGTTACTGGTTTCCATTGCAGGTCATTCATTTTGATAATCTCCCAGCAGGAGTGTACCTGCTTGGTCACTATATAGCAGTTGCCCAGATGGGCTACACTGACAGTCTGTACATCTTGGCAGTGGCTGAATGCACCTTGCTATTTTATGAGTGTTTTGATTTCTGTAATGTTTGGATGCTTGACTCTGGCACAGAGACCCTAACTATGGGCAAGTCACTTGATCTGTCTGTGCCTCTGTTCCCCATCTGTAAAACACGGCGGCATGTTGGAAGGATAAATTAATTAATGCTTGCGAGGAACTCAGATACTGTGGTGATGGAGGCCTGATCAGTACCTAAATAGATAGAACTGAGTGTTCCCATCTCAAAGGCTACCTCTCCTTCCACCTAGCAAGTAGCTTTTGAAAATTGTTTCCTGCATTCCTTTCTGGTGGGCATTCCAGTCTCCATTACTCCACCCTGTCCACCTGTGTGAGCTCTATGCAGAGGGTTAACTTGCTGCTTGCAGGGAATGAGGCAGGGCCTCTGCAGCCTCTCAAAATCAATGGCCTGTTGCTGATATATCAGTCAGGCTGAGTGCTTCAGGTTTCTGTGGTCAGAGCATCCTGCTCTATTTCAGAGTCTCAAGGCAACACTTATGTTCTTTCCTCTCCAGCATAGCTTCGTGGGGCAGGGGGGACATGCCCTTCCTCAGCCAGACGGACCATTGTAACTCTAGTGAGAGAAGGTCTCAGCAGATTATGGAGGGAGGCTCCATCTTGTTTGTGATTTGACTGTTGGTTATTTATTCCTGGTTGCAAATAGCTTGGTGAGTGAAGCCACTGAGAGGTAGTGGGACCCACTGCATGGAGCACTTGACTGGGAGTCAGGAAATAAACATGGGTTCTAGTCCCAGCTCTGCCATTGACTTGCTGCATGACCTTGGGAAAGCCACTTCATTTCTGGTTCCCCTCTATTTTTTGTCTTGTCTGTTTAGAGGGTAAGATCATCAAGACGGGGATTGTCTCTTACCATGTGTTGTTATTTGGGGGCCCAGTTTCAGTCCCGACATGCGGCTTGGTGTACCGAATGTTACCATGTGTCAAGCTGCCTGACTACAGATTCACATGTTGGCTTGGGCGCAGTCGTTTGCTGTTTAACCAAGCCCTAAGTTACCTTCCTGCACCACAGCTCTACTGTGTCATACAGCCTCCTTGTGGCCCTTTAGTTTCTGCAGCATTTGAGGTTTCAACTAAAATAATATAAGTTTAAGCCCCCTGGCTGTAAGAAAAACCTTCCAGGCATGCTGCTAGCTTCCTGAGTGCCTGACCAACCAACACCACAGATAGCAACGGTGGCTTGAGGACCAGTGGGAATGACCTATATTCATCTCAAGAGGACATTTACACTGAAGCCTAGTAATGACAGCTTAAGTAGCAGTGTTATTAACTGTTTCACTGCTAACCATTTCAGCAGAAACATCAAGCTCTAAGGTGCTTTGCTTAGAGAAGGAAAGGCTCACGAGAGCCATAGTCTTGTGGCCTGCCACCTCCTCTCCCCACCTCCCCGCTTCAATTGCTCTCTGGAAAAGTGGAGTCCTGAGATGAATAGGTGTGGAGCAGGAGAGAAGAGCACTTCTGGTTATGGGGAAGAATCTAGAGTCTAGAGATGCACCTCTGCCAAAGATTTGCTTTGCTGTTTCTGCTGGATGTAATGGCCCTGCTTTCTGTTATTTGTTCGGTTCCTGCATTGTCCAGACAGCTATGGCAGGAATACATTTGGGTGCTACTTGCACCAGTCAGTTAGCGCCACCATTATGATAGTTAGTGTTGCTGTGAGACACCTAAATACAAGCTAAATATGAGTCAACAGTGTGATGCTGTTGCAAAAAAAGCAAACATGATTCTGGGATGTATTAACAGGTGTGTTGTGAGCAAGACACGAGAAGTCATTCTTCCGCTCTACTCTGCTCTGGTTAGGCCTCAGCTGGAGTATTGTGTCCAGTTCTGGGCACCGCATTTTAAAAAATGGAAAGGGTCCAGAGAAGAGCAACAAGAATGATTAAAGGTCTTGAGAACATGACCTATGAAGGAAGG